CAATAACTATGTATTTTATTAAAGGGTTAATTGGTCCGTATTAAGATTTCCCAGGTGGCATTATCTCTTCAAACACCAATGGATCACAGTGATACAATGATGATTTAGTATTTCGAAAGCCCTTGGGACAACTTATAAACAAACATCCTCAATTGATTGTATTTTGATTAGCTATACACAGATAGATAAGAAATTTCATAGCTTGCAGATAATGACACAGGGATACAACAGAAAATGGTTGACAATGTGTTTCATTGTGAAAGAATAAAACTCTGGTTAACAAAAGAGGGACAGATTAATAAAAACTGCTATTCATTTATATTTGGTGCCATGCTCTGTGAATTATTTATGTTTCTGGGCAAGGCCTGGAAACTATTTCAATGAAGCCTCATTTGTCAAGGTTACTTATATTTTACCATATTTTTCCTAACTATATCTTTCTAGATAGCAACATACATAAATATTTTCATTGTGTTATGCATTTATTTGCAATATTGATGACACTGTAAAACATGGGATATTAGCCCCTCTTTAACCAATGTCAGACTAAGAATTAAGATCGGAAACACCAGTGCCTTCGTTTTAGAAATATGGAGGCTAACTTTGATTATTATTCAGCTTTTGTGGCTGATGAGCCAGCTATAAGTCATACTGTAGGAAATTTATTGTCTAGAAATCATGCCACTGAATATTTTATCTTACTGGAAATGTGCTATAAAGGGGCTGCATCTTTAATCAAATACATGATGATGTTGCAATCTCTTGGTCATACTGTCATGTGAAAAGTTAAGGTTAAGCAAAACTAAAGGCACAGCTCCCAGGGAGACCAGTGATTTGGGATGTGGAGTGGATGTGGATGTGTGAATTATGCCTCAAAGAAACTGTTTTATTTTACCTTTTTATTTTAAACCAGTAAATATGTTGAAAAGGAATGCATTGCTTAGATTGCAGTTACACTGGACAGACTCATGAGTGACACTGGGATGGGGGAGGTGATAGAAATCAAATAATAGTTATTAAGTATTTTCAGTTTCTATCTTTGATAGATGTTCAAAATCTCTCAATAAAAACCAAGAAAATTTCCTCTTCAAAGAAAAACAATTGCTTAAGGGGAGAGATAAATGCCTGTCTGTATTTGGAGGTGCTCTCAGGGTACACTCTGTTCTGAATGCCTTGTCGCAGGCTGTCTGCACCCCTCTCCCCTCTACAGCCCCACTTACAGACACTTCAATGGGTTTTGTGGTTGATGTGTTGTGTTCTGCTTAGGCATTAGAATGAGGAAATGATTGCTCATTTTTATATTTGACTTTCAAGTCAAGCCTCTTTAAAGTATTGAATATACTCTATTCTGGTGCTTTGATTACATTTTCAGTGATTAAAAAAACAAGAAAGGGGATGACCCAGATGTGACTGACTGCCTGATTTTTGTTACCCCTTTCATGACATGTGACTTGATTCCTTCACTTGAACTCATTCTTCCTATTACTGAGTTTTTAAATTCTGTACTTCAGCTAGATTGCTCTCAAGCTCTTTATTCTGGCTGATAACCCTGCTAGTCTTGAAGATCAAGCTTGTTCCCTGCATACTTGGGCCCTTGGACTTCTGCTTCTTCAACACTATGCCTGGAAATTCTTTCCCTGTAACCAACAACTTAGTGAGATAAAGTTGAACACAAAAAAGAAGAGATGGGGAGATTAAAGATAAGCTTACTTAGCCCTATACTTAATTCCCAAATTAGCAGCATCATTTTCTTTGACAGACAGGAATTATATGGGAAAAGGTCCTTAGCAACGCAAGGAGAACAAAGTTTCTCATAATCTCCAGGTTCTTATCTCTCTGTACTCTCACTTCCATATTTACTTTGTCTTAATTGGCGTACACCTTTAAAGCATGATAACATGTTTTCTTTTGTTGTTCATAAAATGCACAAGTATCTGCTCCTCCTCAGTGTCGAAGATCCAGATAGAAAGCATTTCCCTTAACAAAGCTCTTCCTTCAAAAGATCATTCTTACATCCAGATGGCAACCAGTTTATAGTTTCAGTGTTCATTTCTATCAAGTAGACTAGTTTGGAATGGTTTTCTTGTTTGTTTTTTAGTATGATACCATACTTACATTTATGAATTAGACAAAATTCTTCAGTCTTTTCAGAGTTGGGTCTCTTGTCCTCAGTTGCTCTAGATTTTGTAAGCACAGAGTCTGCATCCAAAAGACAATCAGTGATAGTTTAGCCAACTGCTCTGCTGCTGGGTAGCAAAGGACTGCCATCTGCTTCATTTGGGATCTTGGTACGCTCACTGTTCTATTTTACCAAGACTCAATTCAATCTGTCTTTTGAAATATTTCACACCTCAGAGTGTATGTATGAGTTTGTTGTTTGTAACTCAAGTGGCAGCCTCTCAAATCAAACTTGTTTAGGCAAAAGATATTTATTCAAAAAATATGTAACATAGAACAATAATTTCAAAAGAAGTATCACAAAGCACATAAACACATGAATCTCTCAGTTTAACTAACTTTGAAAATCTCTCTGTGTCCTGTCTTTCCTTTTCTCTGTATATTGGTACTGTTCGTCATTCCAGTGGAAGATACATTCTTCTTTGGGAGAAATCTCCCAACTTGGAATTGGGATCGCCAATGTCTTGGGAAAGGCTGTGATTGGTTCAATTTGGGTCAGCCCATTCCAGTATCAACCTGTTCTTTTCTATTAACTATTACATGTTTTTGACTTCATTCTTCTCCCAGCGAGTATAAAGGGATAAGAGATAAGTTGAGACTGTGCTGCTTAACTGTAAGACTCATCTATTAAAAGAGGGTTTTGTACAATTTTAAGAATCAGAAATGTGGAGATATGATTTTAAAAAAGTGTTCACTATTTTACAATTGTAAAGTAACAGTTGTGTAGGACAGGGACTGAAAAGCCAAATGATTGAAAGGATGACCTGAACAACATTTAGCCTGAGAAAATCTAGTCAGATAAGCAGAAGCTGCAGAATGTGTACAAAGTCATTAGAGTTTTACAGTGGCTGATAGTTGGATAGCTGCCTTTTTCCTTTCTAGATTAGCTCTCACAGCCTCCTTCTCTCTTCATGCACTAAATAACAACCATTAACTCTTCTAATACCCTCTCTCATACATATGAGAGTTTATATGCATGTGTGTGTATAGAATAAATATATATATACTGTTAGAATAGCCATATATATATACACAGTTTTTCAAATCTCACATACAGTTTTTAGAAAGGAAATAGAATAAGATAAAGTTGTGAAATTATGAACAGGAAAATTAGAAGCATATTCACAATGATTGGAAAATTTAAACAAAAGATAATTTGATTCAATAACTTTCTTTGGTCTTAGTATTCTCAAGTTTTTGTCAAAAATGTAAAATTTCTGGGTTTGGGAACTGAAATCAAATGGGGGAGCAGATTAAAAAATTAGACTAGTATTCTCATTTAGGTAATAAAATATCTGAAATTCATGTTGTTCATTGGCTAATGAGCAAAGTAATAAAACATTGATATACTGAAGTTAAATGAAATAAATGTAAAAGTTTATGCTTAATATACACTGTTTTATATTGATATTAGCATGGATTACCTCTGATGTCTGTGGACTATTTAGAAAAATGTTATCAGTGGAACAAATATAAACTGAGGACATATATTTCCATTGACAGTAATGGAATACTGCTTAGCTATAAAAGTGAAAACATTTGAGACATTTGTAGAAAAATGGGTACACCTGGAAACAATGTTAAGTGAAATAAATCAGACTCTCAAGGTTAAGTACTGTATGCTATTTCTCTTTTGAGTAGTAAAAATACAAATCAAAAGCAAAATAAAAGATTAATAGAAAGAAACGAGGAGATAGATCTTTTGCAAATGGGAAAGGATCTAGGATTCTGAGGAAGGGGAATGGGAAATAAAAATATTTAAGATGTCATGTATATGCATTTGCCTATAGCAGATATAAATGTTATATGTCATACATATGAACTACTAATAAGAGTAACAATAAAGAGAATGGGAAATGGGGTTTAAAGAATAAAAATGTGTTGTATACATATGTCCACTGTCATTGATAAATATAAACTTCATCTACTACTAACACATATGTACTCCTAACATATATGTTCTGCTAATTAAACAACATATTGTCTTCTGAATTGAGAGAAGTAGTATGTTAACTTTAGTGATGAAATCTTGGTGGTTCTCAATGAGGGGGTGGTCTGAGAACTAATTAATTAGGGCTAAGACTTCAAGTGTGCCCTCTAATGCTCAATAGAATAAACTTTGTCCTAATAGTCTCTTCCTCTATTATATATATTTGATCTCTGAAACAAATGTAGATCACAAAATCCACCATAGGTCAATTAAGTTAGGATCTGCTGTAAGGTACATATATGCCTATGGCTATTTTTAAATTACTTCCAATTGATCCTCATGTGCAGCTAGTGTTGAGAATCACTGATAGAAGAGATGAAAAATGATCGTGAACATATGCATCCAGCAATCAAGAGTTGAGTTATTCTTATTAGGGCAGTAAAATGTACCCATCCTCAATATCTTTAGCTGAGAAGTTGAAAAACCAAGACTTAAAAGACTAGATTGTTTTTCTCTGTGAATCTTTGTACATACTCCTTAAAATTTTTATATGAATATAATTCTATATAAGTAGACACAGTATAAACAAATTCTATCATGAAGTCCAGTAATACAAATAATACATGTATAATATATTACAATATGTGACTGTTTTATAATATAAATTTAATAGACATATAATTTAATAGACATCACATTCAAGAATTAAATAATTTATTGCTACCCTGCTAAAGAAACTTTAATAAATTGAAAAGAAAAGATTTCACCAGCTAAGATTCTCCCCAGTTGTCCTCATCAACATCTAGTGAGGAATTTTTAAAATCAGTTTCTTCAATGTTCTCTTTGTCAGTGCTTCTAAGTTTCTCTGCAATTATTCCATGTTTTCTTTCAGAATTTTAGAAGTATCATCACAGCAGCTTTCTGGGACACAGCATGATGTTTTGGTTGCCAAAGATTGGGAGATCCTTAAAATTATGTACAAATTGTGTTCAATGATATAACCAGCATGTGATGGTGGGCTCAGTCTGGATTGTATATCATTCATTGCCTGTGGTCATAACTCTCAAGGTAAGACAGTGGACAGAATATCACATGAATAGAAATTGTTATTTCACTCTCAATCTGTCACTTTCCTTCTCACAGCTGATTTCCAATTTAATCCAACTACTCTTCCTACTTTTTCGGTGGAGAAACTGAGTGTTCTGTTGTTTCACTAGGTTGTACAGCATTTTCAAGAAGAGACTGATATCAGGATAGTCTCACTCCAAAATCTGCAACTTCATGGGCACTCCCAAGTGTGAAATGGAATTCTCATTCTTTCAAACTTAAAGAAAATGATCTGTGAATGGAATCTTGAGTGATGGAAAATAATATAAGTCTCAGGAAATCTTGTAAGAGGAGAGAATTTAAAAAACCTTGGGACAGGATTTGATTATTGCTATGAGCAGAAGCTGAGATCTGAGGATTTAAGGGTCCCCTATTTGGATGGAGCTATAGTGGATGAGAGAGAGGATTTTGCTTGTTGTTCCTAAGAGATAGAAGAGAGAGAGATGGGGAAAAGAGTACATTTTTTGTGGAAACTGGTAAAGCATCTTGATTTTTCTCCTAGAACATTTCAGTACAGAGATATATGTGCTGGACTGTAAAACAGAGATTCACAGGGAAGAACATAGTCGATACTCATTCCTCGAGTTATGGAATTGTATTAAAGTGGTATCTGTAGGACTACAAGTGGGTGTTGGGGAGGGAGGAGTCATTAGCCAATGTGTGTTATCCCAAAATGAAGAGGTCTGCCTCTCTCACCCAAAAAGATGTAGATCTGTAAATAATTTTGGAGACAGTAGTGACTTGAAAATTATTTACTATATTCCACTAAAAAACTAAGAACAATGGCGTAGTATCTCTCTTAGTTACTTTCTCATTGGTGGGACAAAATATTTATTTTGGCTCACAGTTTGTTGATGTTTAAGTCCATAAACAGCTGGCTCCTCAGCAGGGTAGCATGGCAGAGGTACATGTCAGAGAAGAAAGAGTTCATAGCCTTTCAGTAAGGTAGGAGAAAGAGAGATCAAGGGAGGATGGAGGACAGAGTGTTCCAGACCGCAACCCCAGTGACCCAGGCTTAACTTCCCAAATCACGTGTAGCTATAAACTTATCAGGGATGAGTGTGCCTCCATGTTGTAATCATCTCCCAAGAGACCTGCATGAGACTTTGGGGGACATCTAGCTATAACTCATAGCAGTACTCAAGATATTTCAAGGTAAGGGATTACCAAAATAAAAATCTAGAGGTATAATAACAAATAGAGGCATCTTATGTTTCTTGCTTAGCTGAGCAAGGCAGATGTGCAAAGAAGGAAAAGGTATGATGAGGAAGGTCACAGTTGCATAGTGGTAAAAGATTTAAAACTCAAGTATTTAATTAAATCATTTCTCCTCCCCTTAGATTTAGTATTTCATTATAGTAGGCTTATGAGATTGTGCTTTTTAAAAATTGAATCTGCCTAATTTCCTAACTTGGAATTAATTTTTCTCACTGTAGAATTGTTCAAATGGGCTATATTATATTTATGCTATTTGAAATAAGTACACTGGTGTGCTTTATTAATTTTGGTGATAATATATTGCAATATTTCTCGTAATATACCGAGACAATGGTTTGAACAAGTGAATTGCATATTTATAAGACGTTATTCTTTTGTTTTGCTGTGAAAGATATTCTTAAATTATTTTAACAGAGCATATGCTTCTGTAATAAGTCAGTCTCCAAAATTTAATTGTTTACAGATGACTATGCCAGGTTCTTTAGAAGATATATTATTGAACAGGTTAAAAATATTAAGCAATTCCCAGAGCACTTTAATTCAATGTGGTTTGACTATTTCATTATAGTTTTTTATTTAAGCACAGACAAGAGTCCTCAGAATAATGATATAGCTCCCCAAATTTTTATTCTAAATTTAGGTCAGATAATTAATGTGTGTTCTCCATAAGAAATGGGTGATTATAATGGAAAATGCCCATTGGCCACATCTTCCTGGAAGATGTCTTGTTCGTATGCTTTTAAAACATTGGGATAACTCTTGAAACCAAGATTTTAACTGCCACTTGTGTACTCTCAAAATCTGGCCTTTTCTACTTGTATAAATTTGTCATACCTATTTTAGACCTTCTTAAAGAAATGACATGAGTAACATGTTGTGTTCACATTGGAAAACAATCAAATAGAGGTATAATCTGGTATGAAAGTACAGCAGCATACTACATTACATTCTCTGACTAAGGAAAACCAGGAAAGATATTTTCAGCATCAAGCCCTGAAAACCCTGTTCAGGAACTTGTGTTCTGCAGTGTCTGCATTTGTGTAATCACTGGGGATCTGATTAGCTCTATGTGTGTCTTTTCTCATTTATCATCTAACTTAGAGATCCATATGCAAATAGAGTTAATGGGGGTTCAACTTGGAGGTTGTCATACTCTCACAGATGTTACCTCCTCCAACAAAAATGAAATGGTACATTTTTTTTTTTTTTTCATGACAGGAGGAACATTTTCAGCATTTAGTTTTCAGGCGTTGTTTTTACAAAGAAAACTTAAACACTGTCTGCTTTTATGAGTTATTCAAAATTAAATGCAGTAGCCCTTTTCAGCAAAGCAATCCACCAAAAAAAAAAAAAAAAAAAAGTGTTGTCTGGTTTGACGCATGCAATTCAGAGAACTTTCCCATACAATAAGCATTGATGATTTCCAAAATTTAGAACTATGTGCCAGACTTTAGTCTTTGGTGAATTACCAGAGTAAATTCCTTTCACTAACTAATTTTTTTAAAGATAGCCATTTAGTTTAAGATGATGATGACCTCTCTGTGCTGTACTGAGTATCATTGTGTCATTTTTCTTTGAAATCTCTAGCTTGTTTGTTCCTGCCTACTTTATCAGAGTTATTTATATGTGAAAAATATGATTTACATTCATCTGTTGTCACAGATCTGCAATATCATTTCCTTCTTGCATGTGACTGTATTGTATTTTCACATTTAGTTTCAGAGAGTTTAACTTGGTTAAAGTATATGAATTACACCATTGTAGTGATACTCTGTTTTAGTTATAACATATCTAAAGTGGAAAGCAAAGATACCTTAAAGCATGAATTCATTTATTGTTCAAACGTTTGTATTACTTTTGTTTTACACTGAAATAAAATCCACAAATAAATTTCAATTGCCAAATCCAGATGTAGAATTTCTCATAAAGGGATAAAGTAAGCTTAAATTTGTTCAAAAGTAGTAGTGTAAAATTCAAGTTACTGATCTGCTGAGAGATTTTTCTTTAAAGATCACATTTCTCTCCTGTAAGTCTGAACTATCTTCAGAGGATGTTTTTTTCCAGGATTCTATTCATGATAGATCCTTGATAAGGCACATAAAGAACTGATGTAGGTAGACTCATAAGACAGATGCCATCAATAAATGCCTCCACAAAAATACTTGCCCGTCACAAGTTAATTTGATGTAGTATTTTCTGTCATAAGGCCGGATTAATTTTGTCCATTTTCCCCTCTTGTCGTAATTCTTGTCATGTGAATAAGAATGTATTATAAAGAAGAACATACTAGACATTATAATTCTGTGATAACTCATTTTTGTGACAAAGAATATAATGAGACCAGACAATAGTGCAAATTCATCATATTCTTACAGTGAACTTAATATTGACTTCCTGGCTTCCTTTCATGATTTCAAAGGCATGTCACTTACAGTTATACCAACCGAATGATTAAAGGAACCACCATTGAAAGACTTGTGCTGATTACAAAAACCTTTTCAGTAGGGAAATAATAGAACCATTTTGATTTTCTTTCCTTTCAAGCTTAAACACATATTTAATGTATATCTGTGATTTCATTTTGATGAAGAAAAACTCCTTGATTTGATAAAGTCACTCAGAAAATGTTACGAACTGGAAGATTGGACAGCATTTATCACTGGAAAAAGAGCAAATTTCCTCAATAAATCTCTATTATAAGTCACAAAGGAAAAACAAAGTTTTATAATACAGAACCTTTCCAAAATGCTTCCCATATTTTGTCCCAGTATCTAGAGCAAAGTAATCACTTTTAATATGGGCTTTAGCTTCAGACAAGAAATTCTTGATTCAGGAAATGCCTCCCTAGTGAACAGATTGTTCTTTTCTTTTTAAAACTACTGTCCATTTGTATAACTCTTACCCTACCTTTATGAATTATTCTTCCATTTCTTCTTTTCATATTGGAACAAAGAGAGTAATTAAGCATAAACATGATTTTAAAAGAGTAATTTGGGGCAAAGATTTTGTTATGGTTTGGACTATAAATATCTCCCCAAAGCTCAAGGGTTAATAGCTTGGCCTTCATTTGATGGCGCCATTGGAGGGTGGCAGACGCTCAAGGAGGTAAAGCCTCATTGGAAGAAATAGGTGATTAGCTGCATTATCTGGAAAGATGTGTCTTGTCCTGTCCTCCTGTCCCTCTGTCTGTCTCTGTCTCTCTGTCTCTCTCTCTTTGTGTATCTCCACTCCTCCTCCTTGAGCTGAGCTGCTTTGCCCTATCACATCCTCCACCCTCTCTGTTCTGCCTCAGCATGGGCTCAGAAGCAGTGAAGCCCGTCATAGAAACCTCTGAATCTATGAGTCAAAGTAAAGCCTTTTACTTCAAAGTTGGTTTTCTTGGGTATTTTGTTCTGTGATAGAAAGCTGACTAACATACATTTAAACAGAAATATAGGATCCAGAATCTATAGGGAATATTGGAGTTGAAAGAATAGCTCTTGCTATGAATGTCATTCTCGTATTTGTTGAAGTCTCTGGAGTGATCACGGTCAGTGACTATCACAAAATAATTGTTTTATGCTGAAGTCAGATGTCTCCATTTAGTCTTTATCTCAGGCATTGGAAATGAGCTGCCAGGTATTTTGTCTCAAAAGTTGACACCTATTTGTGAGTTCTACTATGTATGATATTCACTTTGTACATACCTGGCACATAGGTAGTGTTAAATAAATGCTCATTGAGTGGATGGTTAAATGTTTCAAACTTATAAAGAACAAAACAAAACAAAATACTACATCTCTGTAACTGGGTCCTCATTTTTCCCTGCGGAAGGCACATCCATCCTGTGGCTGCAGTTGGATGTACCTACGTTGAGCTTTAATTCTGCCTCCCACTCTTTGTGACTTTTGGTCTTAACTTCCTCAGTTATAGAATGTAAGCTCTGTCCTTTTCTTTTAATGTTAACATTGTATACTTCACACACATGTAAAAACCAATTATAAATTAAACCAGTAAGCTTTGCTTTGACCTGATTTCATGGATTTGTTTTTATGTAAGAGAAAGAATTAGACATTTTACTGGAAGTTTTTTGCCAGCAGCCTTTGATGAAGATGTCAAAACCCTACGCTGGATTCTTTCTATTCTTTTTCTAATTACAATCACCTGTAGCAAAAATAGTAATACTATTCTTTTCTCGTTAGAACCTGGGGATTCTATTCTGGTGTTGAAATTGGAATGCTTCCAGCCGTCTGCAAAGTACAAAGAATACATTCTGTGGCTGAGGCAGAGTTTATAGATAGAGACCCACTCTTCATTCTCCTGGAAGATCTGCTGCCTCTGGAGAACAAAAGACCCAGTCCAAGGTGGATCCTCACAAATGGTCCTTGGACACAGGAAGCCCAAGTCACCCACTAGGGAGCAGCTAATTGGCTAGACCAGTCTTGGAATGAATTAAACTGCTGGTTGGCAGGTGGGGTACATTGTAATGCACTACATCCGGTATGCATTGTAATTTGTTTTTAATTACTGTGTTTGTCTGGAAAAGGCTGTAAGGTCTACTCATTGCTCATATTGCTATGCTAATTGACTGGAGATTTACACACACGGTTTTACACAGTGTCCTTTGATTGCCTGTGGTGATTTGAATAAAATGGTATTTATTCAATTTTTCTAAAACTTTAAGTTTTAATATCTTGAGTAAATAGGGAAAACTTATATTGTATTAAATCTTGATTTCAACTAGTAAAGACTATATACAATGGATTTCCCTTTAAGTATGTCTATGATTTCATTGTGTTTCCTAGCACAGAAAATGGAATATTGTACAAAATATCTGTGGGTGTCAGAAAATAACTACTGATTTATGTACACCCTCTGATAGCCCAGGAAGGTAGGAGGTGAGGTGGGTGGGAGAACAGGCTGGCTGCAAGGAAAGCCAAGCAAATGGTAAGCCAGGTGTCTGCCCAGCAGGAAATATGCCCAGGAGGAGATCCTGGGAGCTCAAAGTGGGTCAGGTGGGGTTCAGGGGAAGACAGGTGCTGGACAAAGCCATGTTTTCAACCTGGGAGCAGTACTGGATGGAGCTTGGATGGTGAGAGAAGGCACAGAGATGACCTACAAGGATTACAAGGAGGTCATTAGAACAGGGTCAGCAGAGGACGCATGAAAGGCAGGCAGGTGAGGAGGGGTGTATCCAAGCAGAATGGGCCTTCTGAAAGTCTCTAGATAAGCAGAAATTGTGTTGCTCTTACAGGTAGCTTATTTAGTGTCTCCGAGCCTCAAAGTTGTTACACCAGGGTAAAGGACTAGCACAAATGATCAGAAGTCCTAGAAAGGAAATGGTTGTGTTTGTTTCGTTTGTAATGATATAAAATTCCTGGGATAAATTTGACATATAAAACTTCTGTGTTAAATATGTAACCTCTGTGCAAACCCTGGGACAGGAAGCCCTGGTTTTCTTTTTCTTTTTCTTTCTTTTTTTTCAAACCAGGTACATTCTACTTCAGTCCTTCAGGGTCTACTATATCTCCTGGCATATAATTAGTTACTGATGACTTTCGTTTAATATTCACTGAAAAAAGGGTTATTTTTTTCCTACAATGTTTTTGCCCTAATTTTAAAGACATAAATGCGGTTCTGTCCACAAGAACTTAACACAAGCAGAATCAAGTGGGGTTTATAACTTCATTGTGAAATTTAGGTACTGACTAATCTTGACTTGGTAAGCTAAATATTTTTGCCTTGCCTCTTCCTATTTGGGAGATGCATCTGGGTTATACTGCTTATGTAGTTGTCTCAATTTTCAAATTTATTTAGTCATTGTTCATATTAAAGTTATTTTCGTACTGATGTGCTAGTAATAACAAATTATAAAGTTAGTAACCCTGGAATCTTTTTTGTTGTTGTTGTTGAAACAGAGATCTGCTATTTTACCCAGGTTGACCTTGAACTTGTGGATCAAGAGATTCTCCTGCCTCAAACCCCAAAGTAGTTGTTACTTCAGTTGTGCACCATTTTGCCCAGGAATGGAACCCAGCAATTCTGACTTTAACCAAAAGTTCCCATGCTACATAGAAAGATGAATGTCCATACCCAATATATGCAACAATATTTAATCTGTTCTGCAGACTTTACACTAAACAGATGGCTAAGTCACTGCTTCTCAAATTAGAGTCATACCTACTTCCTTGGTGGGCATGAAAGGGTGAGACTGAGATTGCATAGAGTTTAGAATAGAATCTGTATTTCTCTGCATTACGTTCACAACTTCACCACTTAGTGATATGATTGGTTCATCTCATGTGTAAGATGCAGAGAGTTGATATTTACATAGGATGTTCATATGTGTAATGTACTTAACATAGTACTAGACACACAGTAAGCATTATCTTTTATTATCTTTAATATGTCTTATAATTATTATTAATTACAATTACATTTGAGAAGAGGAAAAAAGAATGGAAGATAATAAAAGGAATTTTGTTCCAAAAGCTTAACAAACACAATGGTAGATACTATGCAAATGGAATTATGAGCAATTTTCACTCTAACTAGACTTTTCACAGAGATTTTATTTTCTGCCCAGGTGTTGGAGAACATGGTGAACATAATCTACACATTTCTCATAACTGGAGATGATGTAGTCATGGATAGCACAAGAAAAAGGTTATTTATATGCAGAGTGATTAATTCCTTATGTTGTTTTTAGATTATCAGAGTAACGATTAGACTGTGCTTTTATGACAAGTGTAATTATGAAACAATATCGACAGATTTCAAGATGTGCAATTAACACAAAGTGATAAATTGTAATATACTGGTAACCATAAAGAAAATTTGCTAAAACAAAGAAAATAGACCCGATATGAAAGTGCACAAGTATGAACTTTAGTGCTAAGAAACATTTTGGGTAGCCGAGTGATCTAAGTTGATCAGAGTTGGTCATCTATGAAAAATGACTTTATTAAGGTGTTATCAATAAGTCTATACTGAAGGATGTTAGCACCAAACCCAGCTGTGACATCACAATCAACATGTCTGCCTGTCGAGTTTCGTCCTGGGATTGTCTTCTTTTGTTTGAAATCACATTTAATCCTTCCATAACAGGAGGCTGATAGGCAATTGTGAATGCATCAGTCACACTGGTTTACTCTCTAATTTCATCTGAGGAAATCATTTTATAAACTAATATCTTGATTCCATGCAGAAAAGAGATGGAATACACAATAAAGTGTCCACAGGGGGTTTTAGCATTTCATTTGGGGTGTCATATTGAACATTAAAATGCAATGTAATAAAAAGATGTGTAGAGGAGATGAAGTGATGGTGTCTTGCTGAATTACTTAAAGAAAAAAAGATGGCTTTAGCTCAGAGTGCTACTTTTTAAAATATAGTTTCAACTAATATCTTGGCTTCACTGAAACTCTAGTTGGTTTGCAGAGATGGTTTTATAAGCCTCCTGGGTGAAGGGCAATAGTCTGCTCTGATTGGCCTACCAACAGGAGACTAGCTCAAAGAAACAGAGGAGGGGAGATGAACAAAACTAGTCAGCAATGTGAAAGTTGGAACAGGAGATCCCAGGGGAAATGCACGTGAGTGGAAGATTAGTTTCAAAACCTAAGAACTTGGAGGACAATGGAAGGGCAAGATAATAGGCTGAGCACAAAGAAGAAAATAGAAAGACAGGAAACTGATACCTTGTTAACAAACAGCTTTCGAGAGGCTGGAAATAAACTGTTTTGTTAAACTCCACAGTCCCGGACTTAACTTCTTTTTCTGTATCCACTATTACTCAGTTCTGTTAGAATATAACCAATGGATGGTTTAATTTCTAGTTTCTTGTGGTTGCATTTTATACTCTGTACTATGCATTATAGTCTACCGATTTTTTTGTACTGGCAGTTGAACCCAGGGCTTTTGCACTGAGCTACATATCCATCTACTTACTTAAAAATTTTTGAGACAGGGTCTCTTAGTAAGTCAATGAGTTCCCCAGGCTGGGCTAAAACTTACAGTGCTCTGGCTTAGACTCAGGGTACTACAAACATGGGCAATCACTGCTGGCATGACTATTAAGAAACATGAAACAAATATCAGAACTATCATTTTGAGAGTGGAAATTTCAAGATGGGCATGTTTGACTGATTTTTCAATTGCAAGGAGGTACACTTTAACTTAGATTGACCTGTATTGCATAAAATAGAGGGAAATTCTGTGACTGAACGGATTCATTTAAGATAGTTAAGTACAGGAGGGGAGACTTAGGATGGCAACAGTAGAAACATGTATAATGGGTGAGAACGTAGCACAGTGTAAATATTAAGACTTTCAGACCAGACATAGTAGTTCCCAACTTTAATGTTCATTGTTAAAATACAAGTTCAAGGGCTTTGCTAAAGAAATGCTACTTTAGAGCTGGAGTGGGACTCAAAACTATGCTTCTTGACAGGTAGCTTCTAGACCTCGCTTTGAGAAACTCTAGTAAAAGATGAGAGCAGTGTCTAATTATGATAAAAAGCAACATTGCTATGCAATCTTGGACATGTATCATTTTCTTTCTTTTTAACTTCCTATGCAATTTGCAATTCATATTTGTACATACATTGTGCTGAACATGTTTTATTTCCATGAATTACTTTGTGTAATTTACTGAGCATTTAAAAATATTACTCATCTTATTACATATTAAAAAACAAAACTAAACAAAAAGCCAAGGTGCAGAAGAATCATCACAGACTGATAAACCACGCCTGATTAGTGACAAAACAAAGATTAGAAATTATCTACTTTTGACCATATGCTATGTTTTTCAATGACTATATATAATTTCTTCTAAAAGTTTTATGATTTATTCAGTCAGTTTAGACAGATATAGTTATTTTCAGCTCATATTTCACCACAGCAGGGTCTGAGTCCAACAAGTTATTATCCTGATTAAATTGATATGTAGCTGAAATACATTTTAAAAAGCAACTTTTGTTGTTGTTGTTGTTGTTGTTGTTAATCACTGGGTGTGTATTTGCACAGAGCTTCTGTGGAATGAGATGGTGGAAAAAGGAACCAATACAGATGAATCAATTCTCACACAAGGAAGTACACAAGGAAGTTGTAAATTTCCCTATTGAACACACATGAATATTAACTTATGATTAGCGACAAGTGAAAATAGATTCCCTCTCCTGATTTGCGTTTTGATAAAATGTAAAATTAAATAAAATAATAGGGAAGATGGAAGGTTAAAGAGCACTTATAGCAACTGTACATCTCATTGTTGAGAGTGTGGGGTCTCTATTCGTAGCCAGGCTTCCCAGCACTAAGCACAGGGTCGCTCAGGATAGAATCTTTTCAGCAGAACCATTTGCCCTCGCTCTGCAGGAAGGCTGTTCGCCTTCCTCAAACTCCTGCAGCTGTATAAGGACTGGGCAGGAGGCCCAGAGTGCTGGCAGAAACTCCTCCCTGTGCACACTGGAAGGGAGGGGAAAGAATAGTATTGCAAGATGTTTTGGTGACTTAGGATGGCAACAGTAGAACTTGCAGGTTAGCGGTGTTGGTGGAGAAAAGGGTTGGAGAAGAGTGAGGAAGGAAGAGAAGGAAATAGAAGTGTTTCCTCCATTTGGTGCTCAATGTGATAAAAACTTGGTCTATATGATTTTATTTGCTTTGAGATGAGAAATTCTGCTCTGTTCCCACACTGTATTTTCTT